GGTTCGATGCCGGTCAAGGGCATGTACCTTGGTTGCGGGCACATTCTCCCCAGTGGGGGGTGTGCAAGAGGCAGCTGGTCGATGTTTCTCTCTCATCGGTGTTTCTAATGCTCTATTCCTCTCTCTTCCTCTCTGTGTAAAAAAATCAATAAAATATATTTAAAAACATAATAATAAAATAAAAATAAAATGTCTTAAAAATGTCTACCCGTATTTTCCGGCGTATAAGGCGACTTTTGAAATGAAAAAAAGTCAATCGAAAATCGGGGGCAAAAGACCAAAATTGCACAAAAATTACCTGCAGATCTTGACGGCAAAGTAAGCCTTTTCTTTGAAGTGGGGGGTAGTCTTATACAGCGAATATAGGCCTAAACCTATGTTTTAACTGTAAAATTAGGGGGTCGTCTTATACGCCGGAAAATACGGTAACAATGTTAAAAAGGTTTTAAAAGGTTCGAGTTAACTTTCTTGAAACGTTAGGTGTGATATGAAGGACACATTCCCCCCTGCCCTGAAGCGGGTGTGCCCCCAGAGACAAGGGTTTGAACGTCAGTCACTGACTGGGAGGGACTCGCTAAGATAACCGTGTGTGCGTGATGTGCTCCCCCTGGATAACCACACGCAGCCCCTCGCCCCTTTGGGATGAACACGCGTGCACTGACGTCATTCACTGACAGCCACCTGAACGGCTGCGTGTACAGAACGGGCTTTACAAACGGGTCCTGACAGCCAACATGCCGGCCTGTCGAGGGCACCACACAGGCATGTGCTTCTGTCATCGGCAGGCGCCGCCGCCCACGCTCCGCTCCCCGAGACGACAGAGGACGGCCGGTGCCCCTTTGTGAGGACAGCGAGCTCCAGGGAGGACGCCGGCCCCGCCTCCGGACCGGCCCAGCCCCCTGCGGACCCCGAGGACAGCACCCCGATCCCTCCAGCCTGCACCGCAGCCCCGGGAGCGTGTGTGAGTAACAAAGTGCTGTGACCGCAGCTGCACATGTTCACGCGGTGTCCTCCTCCACCGTCAGCGCAATCACTGTGCGAGCGCTTCAAACTGAAATGAAAGCTTCTGGTCTCCTCGGTCCCAGGCCTGCCCTTGGTCCTGCATGCACAGAGCAGCCTCTTCGCTAGCAACGACTTAAATGTCCAACACCTGCCCGGCTCAGGTTTATCTCCGGGGACGCCGTAGGTCCTTTCCCCGGATCCTTTCCCAGGACCTACTTCTACTGGCTTCTCTTCCCAGAGAACATTCTAGAATCTACCACGTGCACGGCTCCTCCACGTCTTACCGGCCGCTCTCTCTCCCTTCTCAGGGGGCAGGAGGGAGCGGCCTTCCCCAGGATCGCGGCTCCCTCCCGCAGGGCCCTCCTGCAGGCGGCCGCTCCCTGCCAGAGACGGGAGGGCGCCCGGTCCTACCCGCCGGGTGGAGGGCAGCATGACAAAGCCTCTCTCTGTGCTGCCAGAGAGAGGGACGCTGTGCCTTTCCTTTTAAAGGGAAGTGGAGGGGCTGTTGGGACCTGCTGCCCAACAGGACACGGAGATCCCTTCACTGTGTCCCCACTCCCCTCCCCCCGCCCCCAGTTCTCTGTGCAAACCATCCCGAACGGCACTCTGCCTCCCGCCAGGCGCTGCCCGGCAGCAGGAGCTGGGACGTGTCCTAGGGAAGGCTGCTTCCTCAGCCATAAAATGAGGGGCTCCCCCCCCCCCCCCCCGGCACCGGGCTGGCTCCCATGGCGTCCACACAGCTGACCACTCGCACCCGGGGTGCTCCGAAGGGAACCCTCCCCCCTCCCCCTCCCCCCGGGACGAGCAGGTAGCGGTTTAGGACGGGGGTTCCTCTCCTGGAAGTAATTTAAGTACACGAAGGACCCAGCACACGCCGGCCTTGGGCTCAAGGTCGCAGCCACCTGGCGAGTTCTTTGGAGCTGGCTGCAGGCCACGGGCAGCGTCTGGCTTGGCTGTTACTATTTCTGACCAGCTGCTCAGCGGGCGCTCCGGGCGGGGGACAGAAGACAGGCTCGGACACGGAGGAAATATGGCGTCCGATGAAGGAGACGTATGCAAGCACACCAGGAACCCCTGACGTCCAACGATTTAAAAAAGGCCAGAGGGCTGTCCAGACCGAAGCAGACACACCCACCACACGGAAAGGAAATGGGACCCTAGTTCCACTCTGAAAATATGTTTAGTAACAATAACAACAAACAGGCAGCCAGGGACTAGCATTTCCTTGATGCTTCTCCCCACAGAGCCTCCGTGTGGGCTCCGGTGGCCTGGGCTCCGGTGGCCTCGGCTCTGGTGGCCTGGTGTCTAGTGGTCTCGGCTCTGGTGGCCTCGGCTCTGCAGTCCTGCGCTGGTCCCGGGTGGCTGGGCAGACATCGGGGCCTTGCGTGACACATGTGTGGAGTGGACTCTGTCCAGCCCTCCCCTCTAGGGTTCACGGCCCAGAGCCGGCCTCACAGGTGTCACACAGCAGCGGGCATCCCTGGGGCACTCCTACGCCCGCCTCCTGGCCAGAGGGACCTGTGGGGCCTCCCTCCGTGGGGACAGGGCACCTCACGAGGGACAGGGGGACCTCGCGTGGGCACCTCTCTTCCCGCCTCGCTCTGAGCCCGGCACAGCAGACCCGCTCCGAGCAGCTTGCCCCTGAGCGCCCCGGCCCCACGGGGCTGCGGCTTCCTTTCCGAGCACCCCGCCTCCGTCCTCGGTGCCGCAGTCCCAGTTCCACTTTCTGAACGGTCCCTCCGAGGGTGTGAGCCTGAGTCACGCCGAGAATTCACCCACAGACACTTCCTGCCGGCTGCGCCAGCGCGGAGCCAACCTTCCCGCAGTGACGCCCTGGAAGCGGCAGGGGGCCCCTCACAGGCCCCCACGTGGCCTGTCAGTCCCAAAACGCTGTCCTCCCAGCGGGCAGACGCTACAGCCCCAGGCCTCTGGTTCTGGGCGGTGCTGTGGGGCCGCCACACACACACACACACCCGCTCCTGAACTTTCTAACAAAAAGGAAGCGAAACCCACGGCACAGCTGGCAGCCCCGAGCACACCTCCAAGTGCCTCTCCTGACCACCCTGCGGTGGGCAAATCAGCGCCATCTGCAGGGCGCGTCTGTGCCCGGCCCCGCTCCAGCTCACCAGCCTGGAGACCCGCACGGAGGGCGAGCCGCCGGGCCCAGGCCTGCGGGGTCGCGGGCAGCTGGAGTCAGAACCCGGTCCCCTAGCCTCACAGCTCATCTCCGCTCTGCTCCTTCCCCGCTTCCCCGGAGACCAGCCGGAAGCCACAGTGTCCTTCCAAGTCCAGCCCTCCCCCATCCCCACATCGGGGCCCAGTTATGGTTGGAGGCCTTGGGTTTCTATGGGGAAACCCCTGAGGGCGCCAGGCAGCCCAGATTTGAGAACTGAAGCAAGGGACCCAGCAGACACACACAAAAGCCACAGTGTCTGTTCCTTCGGCTGTGTCCACGTCTCCTGCTCCTCAGCAGGTGCTTTGCCTATGGGGTTACCTGGTGCACTTAAATGCCCCCTGAATGAGGTGAGCTTGGGGTGCCTGGTGCATTTGTGTGAAAGCAGACTGGCCCCGAGTATTCCAGCTCACACGCGTCCGGGAGGCTGGGGCCAGAGGCACCCCCCTTTGGCACTGGGGACCCGTCCATGGCTCCTGGCCTGTGCTCTTGGCATTCCGCGGGCGTCAATGGCACCTGTGAGACGCGGGAACAGCCCGGACCTGTGGCTGCCCTGCTGTCTGTGAGCACTGCCTTTCCTGGCCCAGGGTGCCCGGGCCTCCCAGGCACCCTGACAGCGGGGGGCGGGGGTCCTTACTGGAACCTGTTATCCGGGGCCCCTGGGTCTGGTTAACACCACTGCCTGGGCTCCCCCAGAGCCAGGGCGACAAGGACAGCCCGGGAGGGGGGGGGGCGCACTTGGAGGGCAGCGGGGATGAGGGCAGTTTGCCATCTCCTTTAGGAGACATGCCTTCCCGGGCCTCATCCCTGCCTCTGGTCCTTCAGGGCGAGGCTCATGACCAGGCCCCGCCTCTGGGACCTGGTGCCCTCGCTGGTTAGAGCGCCCCCGGAGGAAACGAGCGTGGGGTGCAGCACCCCGGAGGCACTGTGTCCCCAGCCTAAGGACCACAGCGGGGTTCCGTGGGTGCCTGTCTGGGTATGTGTCCGGGGGACATGCGCCCCGAGCTATGCCCAGGGCCGGGGTGCAGCAGACTCCCCTGCACACCCGCCTCAGGCCCCTCCTTTCCCCACGGCCGCCCGAGGCCGCCCCTGGGCACCTGCCCTCCACAGCGCCCTCCCCCTCCCCGGCCCACGGCCCCGCCGCCAGGGCCGCCCCGACGGGGCCCGGCCGGGGCCACAGGAGCCGCCGCCCGCGGCGCCCTTGACCCGCGCTCCCGGCCCGGCGCCCTGGCTTCGCCCCGAGCCCCGCCCCCGGCGGCGCGGCCCCGGCGGGAGGGCCGGAGGGCGGGGGCCCGGGAGCGCGGCTCCGCGGCTTAAGGCCGGAGGGGGAGGAGCGGGAGGCGGCGGCGCCAAAGGTCACAGCGGCGCGGGGGGCGGGCCCGGGGCGCGTGCGCGGGGCGCGTGGCCCCGGCGGGGAGCGGGGACCTGGCGGGAGCAGGGATCCGGGGGGCGGGGATCCGGGGAGCGGGGTCCGGGGAGCGGGGGTCCGGGGAGCGGGGGTCCGGGGAGCGGGGAGCAGGGACCCGGGGAGCGGGGAGCGGGGGTCCGGGGAGCGGGGGTCCGGGGAGCGGGGGTCCGGGGAGCGGGGAGCAGGGGTCCGGGGGGCGGGGAGCGGGGAGCCGGGGAGCCGGGGTCCGGGGAGCGTGGCCCCGGCGGGGAGCGGGGTCCGGGAAGCGGGGACCCGGGGAGCGGGGGTCCGGGGGTCCGGGGAGCGGGGGTCCGGGGGTCCGGGGGTCCGGGGAGCGGGGCGCGGGGACCCGGGGAGCGGGGCGCGGGGCCCCGCGGCGCCGGCGGGACCGGGTGGCGGTCGGGGCGGCGCACTCACCCTCGCGGGCCTTCTTCCGCCGCAGCGTGCCGCCCAGCTTGCCCAGGAAGGTCTCCTCCTTCCTCATCCTGGGGGTCCGCACCGGCGAGGAGCGCAGGGACATGGGCCGCGGCTCCGGCTCCCGCGGGCGCAGGCTCTGAGCCGCCGGGTCGCTGCCCCGGGGAGTGGCCGGAGGGCGCGGCCCCGGCGCCGGCCCCCGCCCCGCCCCGCCCCGGCCCGCCGCCCGCCGCCCGAGGTCTGTCCGGGCGGATCGTGGTCGCCCCTCCGGCCCCCGCCCCGCCCCGGCCCCGCCGCCCAGGTCTGTCCGGGCGGATCCGGGGTCACCCCTCCGGCCCCCGCCCCGCCCCGGCCCGCCGCCCAGGTCTGTCCGGCGGATCGTGGTCGCCCCTCCGGCCCCCGCCCCGGCCCCGCCGCCCGAGGTCTGTCCGGGCGGATCGTGGTCGCCCCTCCGGCCCCCGCCCCGCCCCGGCCCCGCCGCCCAGGTCTGTCCGGGCGGATCCGGGGTCACCCCTCCGGCCCCGGCCCCGGCCCCGCCGCCCGAGGTCTGTCCGGGCGGATCGTGGTCGCCCTTCCCGCCCGCAGGCGGCCGCCGGTCCCACGCCGCGCGCCCCCACTCTCTACGCGGAGGACGGGCCGCTCCTGGGCCTGGGCTGGACCCGCGCCCACCCTGCGCCCTTGTTCTGCGGGCCTGAGCCCCGAGCCCCCGGCTCTGCTGATACCCCGAGCGGGCGGCCACGTGCACCAGATAGCCCGCAAACGGGTCGTTCCGCTGCCGGGCTTCTCCCCGGAGCCAGGCCTGGGCCGGGGGGACCCCTGTGAACTGTCCGGTCTTGGGGGGGGGGCGGGCCCCAAGGCAGCCCTGTACCCAGGAGCCAGGCCCCAGGGACAGGGGATGCCGGAGTCACACAGTCAGGAGCCGGAAGGGGAGGGGAGAGGAGGAGCGGGTGCGGGAGGGGGGTCTCGGGGGCCAGGGGCGTGTAGGGGGGGCCTCTGACCTGGGACTGGGGTGCAGAAGCCCTCACCTGCCTTCGGGAAGGAAGAGAAGCCTCCGCAGCCGAGGGGAAGGGAGAAGAGGACGCGTGGGCCTCACGTGAGGATGTGGCAGGCTGGGAGGGCAGGTGCCTGGGTGGACGGAGAGGGGCAGAGGGCATGAGGTCAGCGCCCTGTGGGGGGGACCCTGAGCCCCTGGACTCGCGACCTGGCACCCACGGCTGCAGAGACAGACGGAAGCACGGGCCACGGAGAGCAGAAGCTCTGCCAACAGCCAAGCCCAAGCCGCCCGCCAGCCCCGAGGTGGGGCCAGGGCAGGGACAGGGGCACCAGCCACACACGTGGGCAGCAGTGGGCTGCCGGGGTCCGGGGCAGCGAGGTCAGAGGTCTCAGAGGCCTCCATGGCCCGATCTGGGGCATCGCTCACCAAGCTGGGGAGGACCCAGGCGGAGTGAATTCGGCTTTTGAGAAGCAGGGGTGCTGGCAGAGTCGGGCCAGGCAGCGTGCTCTGTGCCGGGGTGCTGCCCGCCACCCTCAGCTCCCCGCCCACAGGACAGGGCCCACTCGGAAATGCGCGAACCAGATGCTGTGTAGTTTCGGGGTGGCCCACAGACACCTGCCTCCCTGTTGGGGCGCACACAGGCCCCGGGGGAGCTGTGACCAGCAGGGCAGCCTGGGAAAGAGAGGGGCGAATGCCGGGCCCAGGAGCAGGGAGCCAGGTGGTGTGGGCGCCCGCGGAGGCGTCTGGGAAATTGTGTCTGAGTCTCCCGTCCGGGGTCTGGGGTCTGGCTTCCCACGGACGCACAGGACGTACACCTGTCACCTGCTAACTGCCACGTGAGCACTGCAGGGATGCCTACCCTCTTTAAGATGCCGTGACTCGCCCTAGCTGGTTTGGCTACAGCGTCAGCCTGCGGACTGAAGGGACCAGGTTCGGTTCCGGCCAAGGGCACATGCCTAGTTTGCCGGCTTGGTCCCCAGTGGAGGGCGTGCAGGAGGCAGCCAATCTATGATTCTCTCATCATTGATGTTTCTATCTCTCCCTCTCCCTTCCTCTCTGAAATCAATTTTTAAAAAATTTTAAAAATAAATACGTGAATAAATGAAATCTCGTGACAGCCACCAGCTGGTGGGCTGTGTGGTTAGAGCATCAGCCCACACAACGAAGGGTCACAGGTTCGATTCTGGTCCAGGGCACGTACCTGGGTCGCAGGTCACCCCCAGCCCAGTTGGGGGGGGGATGACATCGATGTTTCTCCTTCCCTGCCTCCCTCCTTTCACCCTCTCTGAAAAGCAGTGGGAAAAATATCCTCGGGTGAGGACAAAAACTTTTTCTTAAATTCAAAAAAAAATTAAAATGTGGCAGCGCCTGGAAGAATTTCTCTCGTGGACAGCCACACGCTGACAGCGGCGCGCCTGCCTCCCTGGACCGCCCGCGGCAAAGGAGACGCTGGAGGGGAAGTGGCCGGGCCTCCGGGGTAGTCGGCCTGGGATACGTAGACGTCATTCGTATAAAAAGCACAACCACATGTCAGTGCTAGCGTGTGCTTGTTACTAAGAAACCACACGTCGGTGCGGGCTGGAAGGGGCCAGTGGGGATAAAAGGGAACATGTAATACTTTCCATAGTTGCCCTGACCGGTTGGCTCAGTGGATAGGGCATCGGCCTGCGGGCTGAAAGGTCCCAGGTTCCATTCCGGTCAGAGGCATGTGCCTTGGTTGCGGGCACATCCCCAGTGGGGGCTGTGCAGGAGGCAGCTGATCGATGTTTCTCTCTCATCGATGTTTCTGGCTCTCTCTCCCCCTCTCCCTCCCTCTCTGTAAAAAAAATCAATAAAATGTATTTTTTTAAAAACAGTAAAGATTTCAAACAAACAAACAAACAAAAACAACCTACGAAGCAGCAGTTGAGTTCACGTGGCTCCCCACTCCGGCCGAGAGCAGATCCTTCCCCTGCTGGGCTCCGGCCTGCGGGCGGAGCGGGGCCTGTGTGGTGCAGTGGGAGGTGGTGGCTGAGCTGGCGGCTGCGGGCTGTCTGCTCCTGTGTGCACAGAGGACAGGACAGTGGACTGTTGGCGCGGTTGGTCTGCGTTTTGTCAGCGCTGGAGGAGGGAGCCTCACCTGATCCAAACCCCCTCGCTTCCCTCCTTCCCGGCTCCTCTCCGGGGGTCATTCTCTCCGGGGGGCGTCCTCTCTGGGGGGTCGGCATCCGGGAGGACCCTCCAGGCTGCCTTGCAGATTGGCACACGGATGTGTTTGCCGGGCGTCCGGGAACGCTGGCTTTTAATAAAAGAGAATTTACCAAGAAGCGGAAATGTGCTCTCAGCCCGTGCACTCGGCCCTCCGCCCTCGGCATCCAGGAGGCGCTTATGGGATCGGGGTGCCGGCAGGGCCGCCGGAGAGAAAGCCGCGGTGGAGGGAGGCCGCTTCCTTTTAAGCTGCGTCGTGGGGCCAGGCAGCGGGCTCTCGGTCGCTCGGGGCGCCCCCCGGGAGGGCGCTGGGCGCACGGGTGTGATGTCCGAGCACTCCAGCGGCAGCAGACCGAGCCCCGGCCCGGCGCCCAGCTGGCGGGGTGTGGGCCCGTCTCAGGTTCGACTTCCGGTCAGCGCTCGTGCCTGGGTGGGGGGCTCGGTCCCCAGGATGGAGGGGCGTGAAGGAGGCCGCGGATCCACGCTCCCTCTCATGTCTCTGTCTCCCTGTCCCCACGGAGCAATGCGCTGCAGCAAGGCCCTGTGAGCGGGGCGGCCGGACACCAGAGTCCACGTGGAGTGGATTCACGTCTCCGAATTCTGGGCAGGCGGCGCCTTCTCTAGGTCACAGTGGCCGCCCTGGAGGCGAGGCGCCTCTGGAGGTGCCCTCGGCCCAGCTTGTCGGGGGCACTGGTGGGTGTGGTGACCTCCCGAAGCCTTAGGGGCAGAGTGAATCTCACACACACACACACACACACCCTCCCCCTGGGCAGCAGGAGGTCTCTCCAGCTCCGGGTTTCCTTTCCCACCAATTTGTCTGTTAATCGCTGGCGGCTGGGCGGGCGCTCAGAGAGGTGAGAGCCGCCTGCTGCCCGGGCTTCCCTCGCCTCCCGCTCCCGTGCCCAGAAAGAAGGAGTTCCTGGGAAACCTGGCAGAGGGTGAGCGCTCTGGGAGAGGAGAGGGAGCCCGTTCCAGGGGTGACCGACTGGGAAGCACCCCCTTGTGCTGCTTGTTGCAAACCCCCCACAGCCTGCGGAGGGCACGGCGGGCCGAGGGCGCGGCGGGCGGAGGGACAGGGACCAGGCGCCTGGCTGCCTCGCTGGGGGAGACGCAGCTCCCGGCCCTTCCCCGGCCTCACTGCACTCCTGGCCATCGGGAGTCCCCAGCCCTTCGCGCGGTATGTCACCAGCTTGCTAAGTGACTGCTCGGCGGGAGAGAGCGGTGGCTCCCGCTGAGCGTGGGGAGCGTGAGGAGTGGCCGCCCTGGAATCCTAGAGCAGCGAGCACTTCCCCACGGGGCCCAGCGTGCACTCACTCGGCGAGTTTGGGAACATCAGCACATTCTGAGCCCAGGGAAGCTGGATTTGCATTTGCTAGCAGCTCCTCGGAGTTCTGTCTTCGCGTCGCGGGCAAATGAAAGCGCAGGCGTGCTCTGTCCCCGCCCCGTCTACAGATGAGGGGCGCGGAGGAGCTGGCACGGAGACTGAGGCCTAGTCTTCTGTGGAGACCTGGTGGAGGCCCCGCCAAGGTTACACGTTCTGAGGGCACATCCTGGGGAAATATCGGGGGGAAAGAACCGAGGCAGGCCTATCAGACGTTCACACTTTAGTCTGAATTCCTTTCCCCCGCCATTTGCCAGAGCGCATCACCTGCCTGCAGTAATGGAGGGCTTTGCTCTCCTCCTCCCACTGGGCAGGGAGCAGTAAGGGAATGAGAGCTGAGCTTGGGGTGGAGGGGCACATGATGAAGGACTGGGGGGGGCCTGTGGGGCAGTGAGCTGCTGCTGGGGCAGTGTAGAGAGCCGCCTAAAAAGGCACATCGACATTCTTTTAATTCTTTTTTTTAAAATATATTTTATTGATTTTGTACAGAGAGTAAGGGAGAGAGAGAGAGAGAGTTAGAAACATCGATGAGAGAGAGTCATCG